GTAGAATAGCAACTCTTTCTACATCTGTGTATTCCGAAATGGAGATATTTCGCAGAATTCGTGTTGCCTCGGGGGAATACAGAAACATGCTTTCCTCCTTTGAGATTCCTTAAACTCTATTAAGGATAACCGTGTGCTAGGGATGGCTCTAACTCATTTGTTTGACTATGTGGTCCGTGCGTGTTTGTTTAGTGACTGGGGTGAACAGAGCAGCTGTGATCACAGGAAGGTAACCCAGATTCGTTTTTTCTGCTCTTTGCCTGAGTTTTCTCAGTTCGCTGCCCAGTGGGAAGAAAAGAGGGCATCGCGAGAAATTGAATTCCTCTAAGATAATCTGAATCATAGCTGCCAAGGTTCTAAACTACATTTAAAGAAGTCCAAATCTCAGATGGAGATTTGGTTTGAGAAATGAGCAGGCCAGTGAAACCTCTCCCCACCTGGAAAGAGATTGTGATAAGAAGAGAGAGAGACCAGAACTGAAGTCATTTTTCATCCACGTGATTTGAGTTGATCCTAAGTAGGTCTTTGCTCTTTGTCTCTGCTGTGCATTCAGCTGCTGCTCTTTCAGTTTAGGGAGAATGAGAGCCGTGATTGAGCATTGCTTTCAAGTGGGAGACATTCCTACCGAGATAGGACACATATTTAGTATGCAAAAAAACCGCCTTCTCTCACTTTTGAGATAAAATTTATATTCTATGGATGTTCTCTTGTTAGATATTTAAGGTAGTATTGCATTGTAGGAAAGAGAGAATTCGAATTTTAAGAGGAAGAGGAAATGGAGAGAACGGGTGATGGTGGGGGAGAGAAGAAAAAGGAGGGGACAAAGAAAAGTAGTAAAGAGTCCAGGAATATTTACGAGTATGAGGTAAGCAAGTTCTTCTCTAAGAGAATATCAATTCATTGCTGTTACTGATCAGTGAGAGAGGGATAATTAGAGAACCCAAGGGCTCATGGGAGCTCAACAGAATCTGAGATTAGGGGTGTTCCGACTAGGCACAGCCCGCTCCCCGTTGAGAATTTTGTCTGACAATAGTGTCATGACAATAATGACAGTAATGTAATGGGAGGTGTCACTGATGTGAAAATGTCATACGTGAGATTCGTGTGGACAAAGAAAAGGCTGAGGACCCCTGCAAATGAGCAAGGGAAAAGGAAATGCAATCTCTTCACTGCAAATGAAAGACAGCAGATCTGTATTTGGAGATGAAATATAGATACTCTCCAAGAGGAAAGTAAACCCAGTAATTGTCACTGAATACCTGCAATACCTCCATCCCAAATAATATAGTAAAACAACTCTTTGTTAATGAAGAGAGAGCCATGTTGTTCACAGGGACAGTTGATCACTTTGTGGCAGTCACTGTGCATAGAGCTGGGAATCTACATCTTTCCCGTGATGAGCCTTTAGAGATTCTTATTATGTAAATATGGCTGGGTGGTAGCTGGCTTTTGGTTCAGTGATGCTGTTTTCAGCATTTTTTGACGAATAATTTCTAAATTCTGCAGCAAAGATTTTCCAAAACCTTAAATCTGAATTGAGTTCAATATACAAAGTTTTGGACCTCTTTATGAGCTGCCTTTGTTGTAGCTATTGTTATTGATGATGATGGTCATGATGATATTTTGTTGTCAGCAACGATGAGGTTGTACAAATAAGGAGACAAAAGAGGTAGATCTTTGTACGCTGAAGCAATTGCTGGTGAAGGATTGATTTTATAAAAGGTTTTGCTTCCATCTAGTGGTTATTGTGTACAACTGTCTTATTCTGACAAGCGAAATTAATTGAACGAGATTTTGAAGTGCCCTTACGCTGTGCAGGGAGCCGGTGATTAAAATACTAATGCTACTGTCTTTAAAACACTGCTAATAACGATAGGACTGTGCTGTTGATGAGTGCCCAGCATAGTGGAGGAATCAGCCACTTAAATTGCTGTAAACAGAACCAGTACCAGTACCACCAGTTAGTATTTCTGTAATGCCCAGTGCATGCCAGATACTGATAGAAGTGTTTTACATGTTTTAGCTCACCTGATGTACTCAATAACCCTATGAGGTAGTATTTTTAACCTCATCTTACCAAAGAGGGAGCTGAGGCTCAGAGAGGTTATATAACTTCTGCAGAGTCACACAGAGGAAGTGTGAGAGCCAGGTTTTGAACCAGACCAATTGGCAGGAGCCTGTTCCCTTACCACCATATATTCAGATGACAAGTACAATAGAAGAGATTTGTAATAAGTAACTACAGGAATTGAGCCACGGCAGTGAGGATGGAAATAAGAATTTAGAGTAGGGAAGAAATCTCAAATGTATTTAGGGAGAACTAATAGGATGTGGCAGACAATTGGATAGGAGAGGAGGAAGGAAAGTTAGAGTTTGTGACTAAGCAGAATGGGAGACAACCAAGTAATTAACCAAGTCTCAATTTTGATGTAGGCATAAGTGTGAGGAGAAGGGATAGACTCTCATTTCTTATTTAGAGCCTTAGAAGTGAGAAGAAGTAAACATATTTCAACAAAAAATGTAAATACAACAAAAGATCTGTGCATGCTTAGGAAAACTGTTCCTTCCTATTGTGAATCCCTAACTTGAAGAAAACATACAAGAATACAGTCATTGAATAAGACTTTGTAAAACTTTTGAAATTTCTGAAATTGAAAACCTGTATTGTGAGCTATGCCTACCCTTAAGTATTCAAATGTTTTACTATAGGTTATATAAAAAATGCTTAATGTGGGACCCTTTATGATACGTTTTCATGGAATTTTTCTTAGAACATTATTAAACTTGGAGGGACCTTGGAGTTCAAGTATTCCAACCTCCTCATGTGACAAATAAAGGAAGTTATATCAAGATAAGTTAATATTTTTGAGCACCTTCACTATAATAAGGAACTAAGATGGTAATTGTGTGAGATAAAAAGAAATAGAACACAGAGCTTTTATTCTCAAGATGTTTACATTTTATTTGGGGAAATAACAATATAGTGTACGAAATAGTTGCTCTTCTGGTGTGCTCAGGATCCAGTCTCCTTCTTTTGGTCACAGCACTCGGAATTTCTTTTGGGGGCCATTTCTCCTTCACTCTCAGTGATTTATGTGGGCTTACTCCATCTCTGGCTCCATGTGATACAGTCTAGCCAATAAGAACAATAGCCAATTTATATGGTGACGATAATTGGTCCAGGGATGAATGGGCTCATTGCTTGGCCCAGCCAATAAAAACAAATGAGGTTCATGCCAGGAGTTTTTCTGAAATGCTTTGAAGAAAAAGCACCCTCTTTCCACAGAGGTTGCCAGGTTGGTAGAAGGACAGTCTAGAGCTTCTGGAGGCCACCATGTGAAGAGAGCATCCTGAGAATGATGCTACCAGTGGAAGGTAGACTGAGAGAGGAATGAGACTTGGAAAGCTCATGGCAATGTGTGATCCTCTAAATAAAACTGCCTTAGAACTTTGCAGAATCACCATCCTTTTTACTGTGGTTTCTCTATTCCTGAGCTCTTTAATTTAATCATCCACATGGTTGACAGAATTTCCTCATTGAGTGCTTATATTCCTTGATTCTCATGTCTGCCTGTTGCCTATTTAATTGAATGATCAGTTAACTGGGTATAATAGTCAAGAGTCCCATTTTCTTTCCTACGGAACTTTGCAGACGTTATTCCATTGCTTTCTGACATTAAATGTGGCTTATGAATATCAGATAAATCACAAGATGCCCAGTTAAATTTGAATTTCAGATGAGCAATAAATTTTTTTTGGTAGAAGTAAGTTCCAAATGCTACATCTAAGTTTTAAATTTTAACTGGGCATTCTGTATTTTTATTTACTGCATTGGGCAATCCTAATAAAGCTATAGAAAGGTTGAAGGAAAATCTGATTACTCTCCCCTCTCCTCACGACATAGAAGACTTGTTTTTTTTTAATTTATCTGCATACCTGAAATTTTTTTCACTTAAACTTGAAATGTAATGTTCAATGTTCTTTCTTTTCCCCCCAGTACAAAGGAAACCCTTTTGATCTTAACATTTCCTTTTACCTTCAATTCAAAGAGTTTTCCCGTATTCTAACTCTGTCTTTCTACATTTCAGGAACACAATTGTCTAGTATGTTGAATTACCTTGTCTATCTTCCATATCTATCCTCTTCTCTCTTATTCATCTTTTCACCTCTGCATATATTGAGACTATCTGAAATATTTTTCTGTGCTTATTTTCAGCCCTAAGTATTCTTTTTGCCATCTCAAATTGATTTTTTTAAAGTAGAAGGGTAAACAAATTTCTCAAATGCTGCAATCTCACTCTGTTGTTTTATCATCTCATCCCCTACTTGTTTTGTTGAATTTATATTGTTCCATCTTTTATATAACGTTGATTACACTTAAGAAATATCCTCCTTGTTCTTTGAGATTTAGGGAGTCTTCTGCCTTTTATTTATCCATTCATTTATTACTGTGTTGCCTTGTTTCTAGCTACCTTCCTTCTCTTTATTTATCTACCCATTTATTTACCTACAATGTGATTTCATTATTTCACTGCCATTTAATTTCATCTTGTTAATGCTGAATATGAGCAGCTTTTTGCAAATGTGTCTGTTCAGAAGTTGTGTGGATAAGTTTTAACTGCCCTATTTTCTACTTTGTCTAAGGTGAATCTCTCTCCCTGTTGCAGGGCTAGGTGTTGCATTGTTTTGTAAAGGCAAAAGCCATGTAAATAAGGAAATGGGGATAATTCACCTGGAATGGAGTTAATCCTTTGCTAGGGAATCTGAAATCTGCTTTTTCCTCTGAGGCCTTATTAAATTTCCAGTTCTGGGATCCATTTTACCATCACATTTGAAAGGGATTTAAAGATAACAAAGCCTTCTATACTTTGGGGGATTAATTTAAGGAGATAACATAAAGTCTTTTTTTTAAAAAAGAAAATATGTTATAAAATGCTTAGCATCATTCTCAGCCTGGCACAACTACAAGTTTCATGGACTTTGTTTCTCTTTTCATTCAGATTTCAACCTGAAAGCTTTTGAAATGTACTTCTGTGTGGAGTGAGGGAAGGCAAAGAGAAAGGTGAGTTCAAGACCACTCCATTTTAAGTAGGTATGCACAGTATATGCTCAGTGGAGGGAGACTAGCCAAGCTGGAGTGTTGCATGTCAAATGGATCATAATGTCATCATAGCAGGTATGTCTGCTTTAGTTTTAAACAAAGTAATTTTATGCAACTATTGCCATATTTTATATGTGGCTTTAGGCATAGGCCCTTACTTTGTTAGTCAGCCTTTACCTCTTTCTACCTCCCTCTAGAAACTCTCCATTTCAGCCAAAGTGGCCAACTAACTGGGACCTAAATAAGTTTCAAATGTAGTCTCTGAAATGTGGTTCATGTCATGCCACTCCCCCTGAATTACTTTCATTTGCCTATTCTTCCACAGCCTTTAAGATTCAGCTAAAATTCCGCCTCCTTCACAATGTTTCCTCTGATTGTGCCAGTCTAAAGTGATTGCTCCCACACTCCCAGAATGTGTTGCATACTGAATAAATGGTTCATCTCTAGCTTTCATTTCACTAATTTACTCTTCAATTCTGTCTAATCTGTGATTTAATCTATTCACTGTGTTTGTATTTTAATGATGACATCTTCATTTCAAAGCAGATCTTTGGGTGTGTTTTTAAGCCTCTGGTTATTTTGGTATACCTTGATATTTTACCTTTCTTCTTTTTTAAATATGTTTAGTCATACTTCATAGCACATATTTAATAATCTCCTCATTTGAAAGACTTGAAGGTCTAATTGAAGTGTTGGTTGTGTTGGCTACCAATGTATCCCCATGCCTTTATATTATCTTTATCTTGAGGAATCCTTTGTGGTCTGGGTTGAGGGTGTGACTTTCCAGACATGATTGGCATTTACTTCTACCAGGGAATGACTGGATGGGGACCACCTTTGATGTTCATTTTATGGATTTTGGCTTACTGATTCATAAAGGAAATATGTATTTGAACCAGCAATTCAACTGAGAGCAAATCTAAGGTCCCAACTTTTTGGGACCCACCTTTTTGGTGGAGGGGACATGGAGAACGGGATGGTTGTCTTGCTGGCAGTGGGTAGATTTTGCTTCTTTTCTATCCTTTGATTGTGGCATAACCCTTTAAGGGTTCTAGCTTTATGAAGTCATTGCCTTCTGCTTTGCTCTAGCCTGAAGTGTAGGTCTTATTCCCATTCGGCAGTTAAAGCCTGACCCCCTTAGTTACAGAAACCAGCAAACCTCCCCCCACCAACCCTGAACAAGAACTTCAAGACCCCTGCAACTTTCCTTTCTTGGTTTTTCTCTTCGGTTTTGGTTCTTGAGGAGATCTGTCGTTGTTTCTTGTTATCTCAGCTGTTACAATAAAGGATATTTATAATGTTTTACCCATTATTTCTCGGTGGTTTGTATCAGAATGTTAATATTAGCTAATACATCACATAAAAAATGGAAGTTTACAATAGATTCAATAATTAATCATAGAGAGCCTTGTCACAGATCCCCTATTGGTGTCTTTACCTATTATTTCAATCTTAAGAAATGTTTTCATACATTTTCTCTTCAGATAAATTACAAAAAAAGAAGCTAAGAATTATATCTCACAGTCCTTTTTATTTATGATGCTATTTTGCCATGACTCCAGGTTAATTGGTAGAAAGTAAATTGGTTGAAAATGTTTGGTTTGAAAACAATTAGCCAAAGAAAATTGATTAAAAATTAAACTGAATATTGAAAGTTTGTTTTTGTAAATATTGATAATTTGATACACCCATTAGTAATTAGAGAAATACTTAGAGTATGGAGATAGAATGTTGAACAAGACAGATACAGTGTCTTCCCTTAAAGAGATTACAGCATGGGATGGGTTTATAGCCCTTGAAGTGTTTTTAAAGTATATTTATCCATTTTGAATCTTATTTTTTTATTTATAATTTATTTATAATTTACCTTTTTACAATTTGTTTATTTATAATTCATTCTCATCCACTTACTCTTGCAATGCTGGTTTGCAAACATGTTAATACATTGCTGTCCTTGCCTCTAGCTCTAAAAGAATTGTCTGAAAACAAATTAGTGTGAGAGTGCATATTTACAGTATCCAGTTCATGTTTCTATAATTTCTGTGCAACCTGGGATAATTGTGCAAATCTTAAACACACTAAAGAATTTTGTCTACCTTCTCCTTTGCCTTTTTATCCTCTTAATTTTCAACCATCACTGTTCACTTAAACTGCAAGAGTAAGTGGATGAGAAAGAATTATAAATAAACAAATTGTAAAAAGGTAAATTATAAATAAATTATAAATAAAAAAGATTCAAAATGGATAAATACACTTTAAAACACTTCAAGGGCTTAATGTGTTTTTACTGTCTTTTCATAAACATTTATTTTATATTTAAAGTTTTCTTCACTGTATTTGACATTATTTGGGCAGCATTTGTACAGTTTGCTGTCAGGATTGAAGCTGTAATACAAAGAAAGTGCAACTACAATGTGAATGCAAGGACAAGCTTAAGGTTGCTTACACTGCTGACCTGAAGGCAGATGGATCTGACATTTGCCTTGCTGTTGGGCAGAAGCCAGAAATCTCTTCCCGGATTTGAAGAAAGATTACCAAAAAACTGTATCTAAACATTGATCCTCATATAATTTTCATGGGCTTTGGGCCACAAGTAATCAATGTAGCTAGTTGCATTTTGAGTTCAATGAAAAATAAACCTCAATTTCCTTTGATGGAAGGCCACCTTTTTAGCAGACCGCTGATACCTGTACACACAGGCCCTTAAATAATTAGTTATTTTTACTCTATTTTTTACATTTCTAATTCTGAAAAATGAACAAAAATTATTAAAGGCACATAAAAATGGAAAAATTCATCGCATAATGCTTATAAATGTTCAGTAAGTGCGAAAATCAATCTTTAGGAATAATTATTTCAACAATTTACATTCAACAAAACGGTCTAGGACTTCCTATTAAGAATAGCTAGTGTTGGGGTGCCTGGGTGGCTCAGTCGGTTAAGTGTCCGACTTTGGCTCAGGTCATGATCTCAGTTAATGAGTTCAAGCCCTGCGTCGGGCTCTGTGCTGACAGCTCAGAACCTGGAGCCTGTTTCAGATTCTGTGTCTCCCTCTCTCTCTCTGACCCTCCCCCATTCATGCCCTGTCTCTCTCTGTCTCAAAAATAAACGTTAAAATTAAAAAAAAAAAAAAAAAAACAATAGCTAGTGTTTGGGAGTAGCAACAATTTTGCCCGTCCCAGATAGTCCTTTTATGATGTGCCTTTGACACTCTTGAGAAGTGGGGAATCTGTGGTTCTTCCTGTGTATCTGGGAAGGCTTGTTATTAAAGCTGCAGTGATGCTGTGTGACCTTTGGGGCTAGGTCATAAAAAGTGATAGTTTCTACTTCATTCCCTTGAGTTGCTCATGCTGACAGGAAACATAGATCACTTACTCAGACCACATGGAGAGGCCATGTGTAGGTGTTCTAGCTGATAGCCTGCAGGGATCGCACCAATAGCCAGCAGTAACTACTGGACCCACAGGTGAAGATGCCCTCAAACGGTTACAGATTCCAAGTGTGGAATCCACTCCAGCCTTTGAGCATTCCAGCTGAGCCCCCAGACAATGCTGTGCCCATCTCAATTCCTGACCCACAAAATCCACAAGCATAATAAAACAGTCATTTGACACCACTGTGTTTGGGACAGTTTGTTACACATTAGTAGACAACCCGAACGTCGCCTCACTCACGTATAGCCCAAAAGGCAGTGAAAAAGAGAAATCTTTTCACAATAGAATTTCAAACACTTTATCTCTGTGTCTACTATGTTTGGAAAGGGAGATGGCCTGAGGTTGGCATCTATCCACATTCCTTGGCAGTGGCTAAAGATCTGAGTTGGTAAACATGACCTAAAGGAAATAAAATCAGAAGTTTGGTGACAAGGTTTGGGAAAAGGATAAACAGACTAATTTCTCTGAGTGAGCTAAGAGACTGAGAATATTTCTATCTGGTGTGAATGGTCACTGAGAGGCCCCTGACAGCATTATTCATACATTGTTGTTCACTATACTTTATTCCCACTCCAGAGCTTGATCAGAGGGCCCATAATGATCAGGAATATGGAATATTTTCCAGAAATATTCCAGGAATATTTTCCAGAAATATTCCAGGAATATTTTCCAGAAATATTCCAGGAATATTTTCCAGAAATATTCCAGGAAAATTTTCCAGAAATATGTTTGTTTTGGAACCCACAAGCCTTGCTTCTTTTTTAAAGAGTTGATTGTTCTCTGAAGGAAAAAGAAATTCCACTAATTATATTTAATTTGAATATGAAATTGCTATTTTTATAAGTGAAAATGGTTGAATATTTGGCTTAATATTTAAGAAATAGATTATATTTCCTTATGAGGATAGAGGAGTAGAAAATCCAGGGGAAAAAAATAAGGCAATCTATTGATCTTTGTGCACAGTGCCCAAATTCAATGACAGAGCTAAATCAGTGGAGAAGTTAGTTTGTGTCATTATTCCATGATCTAATCCTAGTTATATAATAGCGCTGACTGCAATGTCAGTCAAACAATGCCTGGTTAAAGGTTGGTAATGTAGGAGGATTGAGAAAAATGAAGGGAGAAGGAGGATAAAGTGACTGGTAGAATTAAAAGGGAATCAACTGCCATCATAAAAGACACACCTATCTGCTTTACTAAATTTGAAGACCCATGAAGTACAGAAGAAGCACTTAACTATTTGAGTCATGGGTGAGATGGAAGACAGTAATTGCAAATACTATTTTTTATTTCCTTCCTGAAACTTGTCCCTGAAGATAACAGCAAGTTTATTAGAAAAAGCTAACATTTTATTTCAACTCCTCTAGAAATAAAGGGAAACATGAAATGTCTCCAGGCCAACATGCTTTGCTGCATCTTGACCAACAAAAGCCTTTGGAATGTGCCAAGCAATCTCTCACATTCGTATGCCACGCACTAAGCAAAACACACTTGGGGAAAAGTGGAGGATGCGCAGTCACACCACAT